GCAGATAAACACAAGTCTTCACACCTAGATAAATCCAAAAACAGGAGCCAGGCAATTTAACAGCTGTAATATGATGGTCACCCTTTTCCTTCGTGTTTTGTTCGGACTTAAACCAGCCAACTATCAAGGAAAAATGCTTTGAAGCTATACAATTAAACAATATAAGAACTAAACAGATTTTCCAGCAAGGTGTGTGCAGTCCAGGGAAGACCAAGAAGCCATCCTGCCACCCAGCCAATAAGCAAAGGATCCACGCTGTGAGACTGTACAAGAAACATAAGGAAAAACTTCTTTACGGTCCGAGTCTCAAGGGGCTTGAAAAGACCCTGTCCAGAGGTGGTGCAAGCACCTATTCTGGATATTTTCAAAAAACACTTGGATGCCTATCTTGCTGGAATCATTTCACCCCTGCTGACTTCCTGCCCTTTGGGCAGGGGGCTGGACCCAATGATCTTGTGACATCCCTTCCAGCCCTAGTGTCTATGAAATCTATAAAATCTATGAAGAACTGCTTTCTACCTGCATTGGGTAAAGATCTCTTTGCAGCTAAGATAATGCAAGGACTAATAGCTCATTTTCCATTGGGAAAGATTCTTTTCTGTCATTTAGTTTTGTAGCTTGTTGGCTGGTAGTTTTAAAGCAAGCCTTTCAACTATTCATCAATGGAGTGTTGTGTCAATTTTTAGAGTACGGGGTTTAAAAACCCACTTTCTAAGTGCAACAATTAAAGTTATCTGTGAATTGTGCACCATGATTATACTCAATTGCCACAGAAAAAGAGATGGACAGTTTTGCAATCTGAAGGCCACACTGAATCTGATGGTTTTACAAACAGTTATGTACTGCTCCAGGCATCAGAACATCTTATATTGTAATGGGGGTTTTTTTGGTACAATATTAACAGAAAGACCAGGGTCCCAACACAGTGAAGTGACACTAGTCATATTTTTTCAGCGTTATTATAAGTAGAACACACATGTAATCACAGTAATAAATCTTATTACACGCTGTGGACCAATGCCTAATGATTAGGCTAAAAGGACTAGTGCAGAAGTAGAGAAACTGAAATCATAGTAGTTCAGGCAAGATGGCACCTATTATACTAACTTGTTTACAGAAATTGTAATACAGGCAGTCCTCAGACTTACAATCCAATTGATTCCTGAAAACCACATTAAGTCGAAACATCGTAACTCGGAACCAGTTTTCCCATAGGAACAACGTTGTAAATGGGGGATTGGTTCCTTTAGGACACTGGATACAGCTGCGTCCAGCTGGTAAGTCTGGTATGGTGAAAGGGGAGGTAGGGCAAGTTGCTTATCTGGCAGATCCTGCTGCTTATCTGGGAGGGCATGGTGGGGGGCGTGCCCCCGGATCTGCATGGGGTGGGGCGT